TTTCTTTTGAAAGGCACAGCCTTCAGCAGAATTGGTATTTTACCCTTATTAGTTTTTCACTACATCAGTGTGTCTGTGTTCTCAGTATGAATTTAATCTCAGTCAAATACATTTTTCTTTTCCAAGTTTTGCTGTTGTCCAGACAGGGGAGGTGTTTGACTTACACAGAGTGAAGGGCCTGAACCTGATTTAAGCAGAGAATGAGAATCAGCAAAGCCCAATACCTTTAAGCAATGCTAGTCTAATTCATTTCCCATAGTGTATTGTATGGGCTTCACTGCAATTTCATCTTTTCTAACCCATTTTTAGCACAACCCCTGAAACAGTCATGTGTAGAAGATTTAAGAAAGTTTCATGCAGTATTGCAGGCAAGGCAATGAGTATCTTGCTTTCTCATAACATCTTGGAAATCTCAAAAGTCCCTTCCTCAAATGGTTTTTCTCCTGTTTTGGACAAATAAGACTTCTGCTTGTTCTGAATAAAAAATTCAGGATATTGTACTAAGTTGTCAAGAGGATAGTCTTGCAGGGCTGGGAGCAAAAGAGCCAGGACCCACAGGGCCTTTTGGATAGGTAAAGTCTGGATATGTTAAATCCCCACATAAATCCCCAAAGGTGTCTGCCCCCTAGATCATCTGTCCTTTCCCCATGTCAGGTTGCATAAGTTTTATTCTTCACAGGTGGAGAAAAGTCAGGATGACTCTGTGTAATGGATCTTCTATTTTGATCCCAAATGGAATGGGCTTCCCAGCACATATGGTTGTAGATATTTCCTGGCTGAGCATGTTTGTGTGTGGGTTGGTTACAGCAGTGTCTCTCACTGCATTTGTCCTTGTGCTAAATGCAGGATGCTTTCCAGCATCTCCTCCACAGTTACTGGTCCTGTAGCTCCTTATGTGTGAAGCTCTTTGTTCCTGGCCAGGTTAGATGAGGGAGAGCACCAAGGAGATGCCAAGATGTGGAAACAGGCATATGTGAAAGATCTTTCGCTGCTCCTTTTGCTAGGATGCTGCTGAAATGGTGAACAAGAGTGAGGATTACCAGGACAGGAGATGGAAGCTGGTGTCCTCACGTGAGGTTACTGCTGCCCTTGTACAACTGCTCATGGCAGCATTTCCAGAGCCAGAGCACACCTCCCCCGCCCTCAGCATCTACATTCTGCCTCCAGCAGTACATCAGGTGGTTTTAGAAGAAAATACAAGCACTTTCCTCTGGTAATCTCATATGGCTGCTCTCTGTTGTAGAAGTACTCTGTGTCAGACCATGCCATTGTCCCAGCAGTGACTTTGCTCACCAGCTGCAGACCCTGCTATAGCTTTGTGACAATGCCACCAAGCGTGTTCAGTGCCTGTGCTGTGATCCTGGGGTGCTTCTGTCGTGCTGTGTTGATATAAAATTGTGGCAAACAGTTGTGTCCAGGACTGAGACCCAGGGCATTCATAACTCCCAGCTGGGCAGCTGGTGGCTTCTGTGCTGCAGAGCAAAGTGGGTTGGGCAGGGAACAGTGGGCAGCAAAGGAGCTGCACCCACTGTCCTCTCACAACACCAGTGTGGGCCTGTGTGGCAGGACCCATGGGCACAGCAGTCAGCCCCAGAGGGAGCACAATATCGACCAGAGGTGATAAGTGCTCGGTGAAACTGATGACGTGCTAAAGATTTTGTTGTCAATAAAATTTTAGGTTTTAGGCTGACTTTTTGTAATATATAGGCTGCTGAAAAATTGGCGAATTTATATTGTAGTAAATGCAGAGTGTCCTCAGTCTGGCTGATGGAACTACATCTCTTGACCCTGTGTAGTTTGTAACTACTTGACCCTAGTAGTTTGTAACTAATTTTAACAATATTTACATTATCTTTAGGGATAAATACAGAATCAAAAGGGAAATCTTTAAGGAATGTTTTCAAGATTGCATATAGGGATATGACTGAAGTGGAAAGCAAACTGTTTCTTTGTTTGATATTTCACACATTGTGCTTTCTTTTATTCTATACCTTTTTTCATCTCTTTCTTACAAGGCATTTCCAGCTTCCTTTTCCACTGTCACTCATCTTTTTCTTTCCTTTGTGCTTTCTTTTGCCTCAGCTTCCACTGAGTTTGTGGAAACTCTGTTTGGGCTTTTTTGTTGTTGTTTTTAATCTTGTTGATGTCTTCAGGCTTATTCTGGAAGCATCAGTGATCAGCCAGGGTCAGTGATCAGCTTTGGACTCACTTTTCCAGGTCTATCCTTAGCAAACACAGGCCTGTTGGCAGAGAAGGAAAGCTTGCCTGGTGTGCTGTGTAATGGAAAGCATAGGAGCTTCCCTGCTCTTTACATCCAGCTCTGCAGCCCAGCTGTTGTATCTTAGGGTTTCAGATTAAGCAAAAAGTATCTTGTTTTGACTCCCTGCCGTGTTTTGTGAAATCAAAAGTACTGCCACAACCTGATGCAACTTGTTTGTTTATTACACAGGTGTGAATGACCAGAGCATGTAGATGATAATTATCAGGTATGAGATTTTAAACCCATATTTGTTAGGTAAGTCATAACAGTAGCTAATTCTTGTCTAGAATAAATCCCAGTTTCTCTACACAGCAGTGTCAAAAGACAGACTGGGAAGAGGGGCAAGCATGATGGGACAGTGCTCAGCCTGATGGGTACCAATGATGTATGAGTGTGGTGGGATTCCTTGTATGTTTTGAGTGGGATTCATTTAAAAGGAAACAAATGTGTGAAGAGAGGAAGGAGAATGCTGAAGGAAGGACTGAGGCAGAGGAGAGGTTAAGGGAAGGGCATGAAAGGTGGAGGAGAGCAGTGAATTTGAGGTGAAAGGGCTGAGAGAAGGAAGAAGTTGGAGGGAAGGCCAGTCAAACAGGGCGAGGGAAGTCCTGCCAGAGCACTGCCCCACCAGGCTGGCATGGCTTTATGCCCCAGCCAAAGCTCTGCTAAATCCCTTTGTGCTTCTTGCCTGATTTTACTTGGTGGTGATGCAACCCAGGTAGTGACATCACATAAATACACCTACAAGTGGTGTTGCAGAGTCTAGATTGTGACCGGCAGATTAGCCAGCGGTGTCACAATCCGGTGTTTATATCATTGTCTCCTGAATGTGGAAGCGATTGCTATGGTGATAACCAAGTTTTCATCAGTGGATCAGGCTGTTAAGAAAAGGGAGCCCTCTTGCAGAGACAAACAGCTTTGAATTATTTGGAATAAAATAATGGTAAACTCAAGTTAAATATAAATATCAAGTGCGGCACATCACTAAGATTTTAGCAGTTGGGGTGCAATATAAACATGTGACTGAACTCCAGCACATCCTGCATCTGGGTCACCTATGGCTACAGGGCAGTATTAGATTTTAGTGTTAGTGAAAAGTGTGCCCCTGTGCCAAAAAGCAGCTGTTGCATCTGCACATCCCAGAATTCTATGAACAGAAGCAGGGAGCATGAGGAGTGAATGGCACCCGAGAAAGTCAGCAGTACTTGCGATTTTGAGCTGGTTTTGTAATTTGTATCGGAAACAAAGCAAGTTATACTTGTTTGAAAAAATGTAACTTTCCAACCTCTTAATCAGATGACAGTATTTTTTTCGTATGTGAGATCAGATAAGAAATTTCTTCTATGTAATCTTGAATTACATTTTAAAGATGAGTTCAAAATATAGAATAGTTTTTATTGCATGTCATAAAGAGCAATTTACATCAGTTCATTTCACTTTGTAGAGCAAGATCCTACTTCAGTATTGGTATTTATCTTTTGCTATCCTAATGGCAGTGTTTGCAGATCCAAACAAAGCATTTTGTTTTTAGAACACTAACTGTAATCCAGTCAGAGGATATTAAGCAACTTCCAGGATTAGACCCTTAGTTAAAGTTTGTCTTCAGTTTCATATTTCCTTCAGTTGGTTGGTTGAATTGTTCTTCTATAATTTTGCATTGGAGTATATTCTGTACAAATAGAGAAGAGATTTTGACCTAGAAGGAGACCTCTTATTAGTGAGCATATTTTAAATTACAGTAGCTATCTGAAGCATCTTGACATATGATAGATAGCGCTGTTGCTATATGGGTTTGATTCAACTTGTTACTTAGACAAGCAACCTCCCACCCCTATTTCTCAAGGAGAAACTCAAGATCTGATTTAACTTCATGTATGCTAGTTTGAATAAATCTGCTGTTTGTGATGCTGCTGTTGGTGTTACACTGGAGCATTTTGATGCAGTTTCAGCACTGTCCACATTGTAAGTGTCCCTTGCTCCCCAAACCCGGGTTCATCTGAGAGGCAATGAGTAACACATGGATCTGCTGCCCTTTAGCAGCTGGTGCCGTGCTTGTGCAAATTCACAGCATCAATTAGGTTGGAAAAGATATCTGAGATCATCAAGTCCAACCTATGACCAAACACCATCCTGTCAGCTGGACCAGAGCACTCAGTGCCACATCCTGTCTTTCCTTAAAAACCGCCAGGACAAGGAGGCCAGCACCTCCCGGGGCACCCCATTTCAATGTCTAATCGCTCCTTCGCAAAGAAATTCCTCCTAATGTCCAACGTAAACCTTCCGTGGCACAGCTTAAGACTACAGTAAAGACAATTCATATCATTGTGGCGAGTTTAGATTTTTCTAAAAGTGGGTGCGGTACATGAAAAAGAAATAAAGTTAATGGGAGGGGAGAGAGGGAGAAGGGAATCCCATTTTTAGCGCGGGAGGGATACCAGGCGGCTCCTGGCCTGTCCCCTCGCTCGCTCGGGGCTCTGTCCCGCCGCCGCCGCCTCCCCGGCCCGCGGAGCCCTCACACCGCCGGCCACGCCCCCGAGCGCGCCCGACCAATTGGGGCTCTGCGGCCCCGCCCCTCGGGCCGCGGCAGCCAATGGGAAGCGCGGCGCGGCGCGCGTCCACCTGCGGCTGCGGGAGCACCTGAGCGGGCGAGAGGAGCCGACAAAACCCGTCGGAGCGGCGGGTGCGCGGCGCTGCTCCTCCCGACCCGCCCGGCCAGTCCTGCCGCCCGCTGCCTCCGCCAGACATGACACAGGACTACGACAAGTGAGTGAGCCGGGCGGGGGAAGAAGTACCGCGTCCGGTCCGACCGGTGCTGCCGCCCCGCCGGGGGGGCTGCGGCGAGAGGGGCTCGCCGCCCGGGGGCCGGGCCGGAGCAGCCGCTCTCGCGGGCCCGCCCCCCTCGCTCCTCTCTCTCGGGGGAGTACCCGGAGGTTGCGGCGGGGCGGCGCGAACGGCGGGGGGAGCGGGGGCTGAGCCCCGGGGGGGAGCCGGCGGCGCAGCGGGGCGACCCCGGCAGCCACCCCGCCCCGCGGGGCGAGCGCCGGGGCTGGGCCGGCTTTGAAACCCGACACCCGCAGCGAGGCGTGGGGCCGCCCCCCGCCTCGCCGGGCCGCGCCTTAAATGCGGGCGGCGGCTGCGGCGGCCGCGCCGTCGGGAGGAGCTGCCGGGCCGAGGGAGCCGGGCTGAGCCCCCGCGCCGCTGCCCGGCGGCCGCAGCCGCCCCCATGGATTTCTACGAGGCGCATCCCTCCGGCAAGGTGGACTTCGGCAGGTAAGGGCGGCTCCCGGCCAGCTCGGCTGCGGCGACCCTGGAGTAGCCGAAGTTGGGTCCTGAAAAGAGTTAAACTGAGCTCGAGGTGTGTGTATTCTGTAACTCCGTGGTGTTGAATACGAGACGTCGCCTTCAAGCGGATCCCAGGCTGTGTTTACGGACTCGGGTCTGTTGCTGCACTTGTCACTGTGTCCATCTGCTGACAGTGGCCGTGGACACCTGAGTGCCAGAAAATGGGGTAGCTCTGAAGAGATTTGCTTTCAAGAACACATTTAAAAATTTCTATACTTTGAATGATTGGTGGCTCAAATGCGCTCCTTTCCTAGGGAATGTGTAGGATTTTAAACCCAACTTTTTGTTTCAACATGCTACTTTCTAGGAAGAGGACTCCAATGCAGCAGCTCACTTAACTCATATCTCTAGGATTTTTCATAGGTGTTTTTATTTCCAGTGACACTTAGTAGATGAGGTCGTAGCAGTTTGGGTGTATGCGCTTCGCTTTTCTGGCACACCGGTGCCAGAAATCCTGGGTGCTGCCTCAGCGTTAGAGGTGAGCTCTGTGCAGGAGCAGGCACAGCATGGCTGCGCAGCTCTGGGCGTCACAGGGTAAGAGGGACAGGACGGCTGGTCCTGCAGCAGTGAAGGAGGGAGGAATGGTTTCTGTGCTCTGAACACAGAACATCCTAGGCTGGGGAAGCTTCACAGGTAAAGAGTCTCTGCTTTTTGTAGTATTTCTCTGCTCCCACTGTGGTCAAGTGGAAAGTATAATTGGGAAATTATTAGAACTGCTGTATGAAGCTTAATTTTGTGCCTCTGCTGGACTTCTACCACTGTGTGAGCAGATCAGCATGCCGGTTATCTTCTAAAATGTAAGAAAAAAAGATGTGTTTGCCTTCTCTTATCAATATGTTCTCATTTTCGTGAAAGAAGCTGTGGTTCCCCTGAAGTAGGGAGTTGCTGCCAAACACTGTGCTTTTCTTGATAATTCTGCAGATAACTTTTTCTGTGCTTTTTTAGGTGGGTGGGTTACTTTTAGGGCAATGTGCATTGAATTTCGGTGTTTCAATGACAAAGGAATCACACAAAAATACTTAGTTCTTGCGTTCGAAAGGCTTCTGGCTAGTTGAGGCTTTTGTTCTCAGTATTTTTTGTTTTCTGATGATTTTGTTTCCCATGTGAATATTGTGTTGCTGGAGGGAATCAGCATAGTGTTTTTGTGAGTTCAGCAAGGCTGATTTAGCCTTTTAGCTTGGTGGGGATGGATCAAGGGAACTGCACCCAGGTTACTTCAGTTGCCTTTTCCTCTGTGAGTTTTCCCATTTGCTATGGATATTTGAGGATTCGTTTATATGAAGAATAATAGCTTGTACCACGTCCCTAAAGAAAATTCTGCTTTGTCTTCTGTGGGTCGTCTCACTTTGATGGAAAGTAGCTGTCCTCTGCGTTCGGGTGTCTGTGTCAGTGTGTGTACAAATACATATGAAGACCTAAAGAACGGGCTTGGTGCAAGAACTTGTCTCTTTTGTCATTTTTGTTTGCTCTTCTTTCAACTACATAATACTGATTTATAGCCACCAAGTGCTCTTACAAGTCCTGGAAACTCCCACTTGCTTTCAGTGCCTTCAGCTCAGCCAAGCTGTCCGATGGCAGCTCGGCAGGGTGACTTGTGTAACTGATAAAGCGTCGAATGCATAATTTGCTTTGCAATCTTTTTGGTAGAAGGTGGTGATAAATGTAGGATACTGCTAAGCTGATTATAGTGATTAGAGTATTTCACAACTTTCTATTTCACAACTTTTTGTATTTGTAGTATATTTCAGTCTCTGAATGTATCTGAAATAGATTAAAAGAATGATTCCCTACTAGGAAAAGGATGTGAAGGTGGTGGGGTTTTTTTATGGGGTTAGTTGTTTTTAAATAACTACTTTTCTATTTTAACTATGGCCAATTCACTAAAAATGTCAAGTTTGGGATTATTACAGAAAGTAAAAAAGCCTCTCCTGCTCCCCCAGCCCATCTGCAGTAAACTAATGTTGAACTTGCACTGGAAAGAAAACTGGACTGGTTTAAAAGTCAGATTTAAAAATGAACTTGAGCTGACTTAAAAGATGAAGCATATGTTTTACCAGTAGAACAAAAAAATATTATCGAGGCTGGCAGGACAACATTTTCTACACATATTGCTTTTGTCCGTGGACAGAATCTCCAAGTCATTTTGGAGTTTGTTGGTTCCCAGCAATCTCCAAATGTTTGGAGTAAATATAATTTTGTATATATATACTACGGCACAAAGGGAATAACTCATTTTTTTCCTTTTTCTTCACTCATCTGAGTGTTTCAAACTAGTGTGCTGGATTATTTCAACAGTACCCAGGCAGTAAGTTGTTTTTATTCCCCCTTGTCAGAAAAAAAACACTGCCAAATTGATTTGAACCCGCCTTTACCAATTTCCCTATGTCATCTGTAACTTACAAGTTGCTTCTAGGTGGTGTTTTTAGATCTATTCTGAGAGTGAAGACACTTGAAAGCACTGGAGAAAAGAGATGTTTTGTTAATGCACATTTTCTAGTTCCACGTGGGAACTGGATCAGGCTGTACCTTGGCAATTTTACATGGGATGTACTGGAGCTTTGTAGGTGGTTCGCCAGGAAGTGTGTTGCTCTTTCTGGGTTGGATTCAGAGCATGAGCAGGTCAGTTGTGCTCTTACATGGCTTTGTCTTTTTCTAGAGGCTGGTGTAATCCATCTGAGTTTGGTCAAATTAATCCTGATTTACTCTGAGCATGAGTGAGATCAGAATTAAGTTTCTGGGCTTTTTGTGTTGACTAATCCTTGCAGTACACTGAATCAGAATATGAACCACATGAAACTGGGGCAGCTAATTTTGAAGAACTTTTGGAATGTTTTTCATGTGTTCTAACAGGTGGCTTTTTTTTATTTCTTCTTTTTTTTTATGATTCAAGTAAAAGACCCGTGTTGGTTCTTCAGAATGACTCTCTCTACTCTCAGAGACGTCCTTACACCAATGAAGATGAGGCCTGGAAAACTTTTCTTGAAAATCCCCTCACAGCAGCTACCAAAGCTATGATGAGCATCAATGGGGATGAAGACAGTGCAGCTGCCCTCGGACTGCTCTATGATTACTACAAGGTAGATTGGCCTGGGTTTGTTCTCGTAGCCAGCAGAGCTCGTGTTCCACTTGTGGAACAGGTGTCATTTGCTGGAGGATTTTGCAGAAGCTGTGAACAGATCACAAGGACTTTAAACAGTGTGGGTTTTAAATTGAAAAAACCCTATGTCTCTCTTTCTGAAAATTTGTTTTATTTTTAGCTCTGTAAAATAAGATCCCCTAGATCTTGATGTAAAAGTTAAGTAGCATTTTGCTACTTTTCAACCTGAGTAGCGCTTTTTCTCTTGACCCCAAGTTCTGCAAGAGGCAATGTGTTATAGAAATAGTCATAAAGAGTGACACTTTAGGACCATATCCCTGCCTGAATATAAATATACATGGAGTAAGAAACTCCTTTTGCTCACATGGTCCCTATTCTGGGGGACCTTTGGCTTTTGCTGGGGCTTTGTTGTGTTACTTTAGGCTCAGCTGATACTAAGATACAGTTACAGGTCTTTGGTGGTATGTGGGGCAGAAGTGTCCACCTGAAAGAGTTGCTGTTTGCATCCCTCTAACCCTCAGTGAGCTTCAGCTGCTGTAATCTGTTAATCCTTTGATAGCAGTGATTGTCTTGCCCAGTGTTCATGGTCTTCTTGGAGACCTGTGCCTTCCTAGGTGCTCACAGCTGAGCTGAGCAGTCAGAGAACATTCTGGTCTGCATGGGGTGCATTTTGCTGAGCTCTGTTTCCCGAATACCAAAAGTATAAGCTAGGGTAGTTATCTCTAGCCAGGGCAGTGGAGAGCAGCAGGCATTTCCAGGCAGGGAGGGGTCCTGCTTGTGTTGGGATGCCTGTGTTATGGTGGCCTGGCTCACCGGGTGGAGATGCCTGTTTTTCATTTGCTGAGCATGCAGGAACGCCAGGAGGCTGACTTGGCTCTCCTGCCTGGCGCTTTGGCTGGTGTCTTTTAACAGTGGTGAGTGCAGTTGCCAGCCTCAGTTGTGTTCTTCAAGCACTGGGAGAGATTGCCTGGTGCAGACAAAACCCTTGCCTGCCCTTTTAAGAGTTGAATATGTCTTACATACCAAAATATTCTTGTAATGCTTAATATGGAGATTAACACTCCACACACACATGACAAAATGCCACAGACTCACTGATGTGGATGTTATTCAGCTAGTTTTGTGAGAAAACTACCTTTCTGCTTTGTGCTTACTATGCTTTTGGGAAAAAAAACCCAAACAACAACATGCTTTCACCAGAACAATTTTAATCCACAAGATCAATTTTGATTTCTAAACCTGTAGATTACAAAAAGAATGTTGATCTTGATCCTTCATGCTCGGCAAAGCAGAAGGGATTTGCTGTACATTAATGCCTAATTCAGGGTTTCTTCTTATATTTGGGTATCAGTGAGTGTACAGAAAAAATTGGTGGAAGAACAGGTAGGCTGCACACTTGGGTAAAGCAGAATGGCTGGAGGTTGAAAGATTTATTGAGGGCTGCTATGGAGTAATGTTATAGAGAGATGATGTCGAGGCATTTCTAACACGCCTCCTCTGCATATTAAAGGCAGCTGATGAGATCATTTTCCTATTAAAAAAACCAAAACAATAAAACCAAAAAACTTTTGTTTCCTTCCATTCAACTACTGAGCTTGCTTAACTGTGGTTAATAAGGCCTTATAGGAAACAAATTTTGGATAGAAATTCTTTCAGGAGTGTTGGCCAAATGCAGCTTGGAAAACTCTTATTTTTTGCTGACTAATTAGTGCTGGTCTCCCAGCAGTCTCCATCTAGAGGGTCTCCAAATTTTTCTGGTTACTGTGGGAAATCAAACAGTTCTGGTGTTTCTGGGATTCCAGGTTATATGTAAGAATGAGGACATCGTTTTCAGTCAGGGCTGGTGGTGCTGGTGTACCCTCAGCCTTTGCCTTCATGCTGAAGTGCTTCCCCACCCTGGACCCAGGCTGGCAAATGGAGGCAGGATCTGAACAGGCTTTTGGTGAAGGATCTGAACAGGCTCCTTTGGTGAAGGAGCGTGGTAGGAGTTCAGTCCTCTGTACATTCACCAGAAGATGTTTGCTTTGCTTGTTCAGGAGGCGTGATGAGGGTGACAAAAGTCCTAGGCCTTACGTGTGGGTTGGCAGGAGAGCTTGTGTGAACTTGCAGTGTGGCTGAGGGGACCTGAGCACCACAGGCTTTTGCCAGCAGCTGCAAGAGCTGTTTGGGTTGCTGGAGTGCTGGTTATGTGCTCCCATGCAAGGAGCTGAGCCACCACAGCTCCAAGAGTTCACCTTCTCCTGTGTGCCTTGGCCTTGCAGTGCAGCCAGGAAAATGACACATGTCTGGGCAAGGTGACTCGTTTGATTGATGGTGTGTTTTCAGGGCAAGTCCTGTCTGTGGCATAAAATACAAGAAGCAATACTGAGCTGTCTTAAATCAGAATGCTGATTACATTTTGTTTATAAAAGTTTTAATATAGTTTTGGCCAGTGTGTTTATGCAGCCATGCAGAAATATGAGCTGTAGTGTCTTAATATGTTTATTGGACATGGTACTCCCCAAATTCCCTGATCACAGAGGAGAAAGGAGAGCCTCAACTGATCTTAAAGGGAATGGCCTAGAGAGCACATGTCCTGGGGGAAGTGGCTGTGGAACAGCATCCTTTCACAAGCTCATCCAGCAAGCTGAACTCTGCCAGCTTGCAGAGGAGAGAACCTGCACTGCCAGCAAACCTTGGGAAATCTTCTCTTGGTCCTGCTCACCCCAGAACTGGTGCTCCAGCCATAGGTGGATCATTTTCTGCACTGGTGGTCTCACCGCCCGGTGCTGGCAAGGGCTCAGGGCTGACACGTCAGTTGGCTACATAGGGATCTGTGGGGCATCTCCTGGGGCTGGCCTGGCATCCAAAGCAGGGCTTCCTTAATTTGACCAAATTTTAAGGAGCTAATTTTTTGTATGGGAGGAAGAATTGAATTATATTATGTCTTTAATTTCTCAGGTTCCAAGGGAGAGGAGATCTTCAACAGCCAAGCCTGAGGTAGAACATCCTGAACAAGACCATAGCAAAAGGTATTATTTTTTATTATTGCTTCTCTATTTCCTCCCTTGTCTCCTCAACCATCAAAGCTGCTGAAGGAAGGTAACTTGCTGCAGTGTGGAGATAAATTGTTAGCTTTTACTCCGTGCCTCTGTGTTGTTTCAGGAGCAGGATGGGGATTGAACCATGGTGTGGAGAGCTGAGGCTCAAACTGCTGCTCAATGCCATCTATCTGCTTTTGGTGTGCTGATGTCATATAGGCAGCCTAGCAAAAGCTGCTCTCTAACGTTAGGTGCAGGCATCCCCCCAGGCTGCAGTCACTGGTGACACTTTCCATTTTTCGTGCAGTTACTTCAGTTGCTCTCTGCTGATTTTTGTTCTCAGGTGCCAGCAGTATTGCTGTGTCATGTAAGGGCCAGTTGGGAAGCTCTTCAAAGTGCTTGTGATTTGGTTTTGTATTGTCTGGGGACTTCCTTTGTATTCTCTGCAACTTCTGTCTGGCTTCCCCTACCTGCCTTCCCTCTCTCATGCCTCCCAAGCAGATTATACTGATTAGGTGAATATAACAAATGGGAGGTTCACTCAAGCCAGTTTCCACTCCTACCATCCTCTTCCTTTGGACAGACTAGAATGCTTTAAGGACCTGCGGTGAGGTTTTGTGGTCTGGCTGAGCTGATTGAGTGACTTGTTGTCAAGAAGAGCAGGCTGGTTCCCAGCCATGTGTTCCCCCTGCTACTCTTGAACCAGATTGGGTCTCACATGGATCCATCACCAAACAGGGAAGGAAAAGCTGCCTAGTTTTCTGCTAGCCAGGCAAGCTGAACTGGCTCACCAAGGAGGCAGGGGAAATGTCTGAATTGGTGTAGAGGAGGGGGCAGGACCAATTGGTGGGGAGGGAGAAAGAAAGGGCAGGCTGACTTAGTGGTTACTAGCTATGAGGTCAGCTCAGCCACAGATCTCAGTGCTGTCCTGGCAGAAATGAGTGTGGTGGGGTGGAGAGTGGCAAGTTATGCAAACCACTCCCAGGAGTCTTGGTGCAAACCACTCCCAGGAGTCTCGGTGTGGATTTTCTTGGGGGGTTGTGCATGAAACGAGGGGTGTGATTTCCCAGGTGGTGCACAGTCCTGGGGCAGAGGAGCAGCAACTTTGCTGCCAGTCCTTCTCCCTCTGCCAAAGAGCAGCTTCGTGGAGCCTGCGTGTGCCAGTGTGTGGTGGGAAGTGCTTAGTTTTGGTCTGCTGTTTTCCAGGCAGTGAGGATCTGGGCTGCGAACCCTCACCCTTTGCTCCAGGGTAATTACTCTCCAAGGTGGGATGATTAACAGTGGGAGAGGAGTTATGGGGTTTTTTTAATTAGTTTCTCAGCTTTTCAGGTTAGGATTGAGCTGTTCTGCACAAGCAGGAGAGTTTGTGTCAGCTGTCTTTGTCCAAAAGGTTGAAAAGCTTTTCTAGCTCTTGTTTATTAAGAAAATAAGCTGTATAATTTATGCCTGCTTTCTTTTTGCCCTTTTAAGGAACAGCATCCCAAACGTGACAGAACAGTCACTCATTTCTGCTGGAGAAAACAGGGTCCAGGTTCTGAAAAATGTGCCTTTCAATATTGTACTTCCACACACCCCCCAGATGGGCATGGACAAGCGAGGCCACCTCACGACGCCTGACACGACGGTGACGGTTTCCATTGCCACGATGCCCACGCACTCCATCAAGACGGAGACGCAGGCGCACGGCTTTGCCGTGGGCATCCCGCCCAGCGTGTACCACCCCGAGCCGCCCGAGCGCGTGGTGGTCTTCGACAGGAACCTCAACCCTGACCAGTTCAGTTCCAACACACAGCCCCAGAACTCCCAGAGGCGAACCCCAGACTCCACCTTCTCGGAGACTTTCAAGGAGGGTGTGCAAGAGGTACCAGGCGAGGCAGCTGCTGTGTGTGTGTCTGTCTGTCTTGATCTGGATGGAGATATTCACTTCCATCTTTAACTGTTCTTGTTACATGACAGAAATCTGTCAAGTGGCTTAGAAATAGAAGGCTTTCCCAGAAAAGTGCATAATTAAAACTTAGTAAATAAAACCTTCACAACATGCAGTCATTATCAAAAGCGAATGACTAATCTGACTAGTGACAGAGGCTTTGGCTTGCAGAGTGTGGAAATAGTTATCTCGATCCATAGAGCCAGGTTTTGCAAGAGTTCTGCACTCTGTGGTGCCTTTGCAGGTACCAAAGTGAAGTGACTGTATGTAAGCTTCCTTACTGCCAGTTTCTAGGTGTGGTGTGTGTCCATAGAAAACAGTTGGATTATGTAGAGCCCTTGAGTGAGAAAATCTGTGGGTTTTGTTTTATGATACCGACTGAAAATAGCAGTGTAACCATGTTTTGATTTTTAAGCCAAACCTCAAGGAGCTGTGTAGCTATGCCCTTTGAGATTTGGGAAAGCATTAAAATTTTGCCTTGAGCTGACTTGGAAGGCTTACGAGATGTTGTGCTTAGTTGACACCCAAAAGTTTTGGATTAAAACACTATTCAAGTGTCCTGTTTGTTAAAACCAAAAATCAGTTGTTATCTGGTGAACAATTTGCCTGACAGAAGTTCTGTGGTAAGGAGTATCTATTTAATATTGACTTTTCTTTTTGCTGCAGTGTTAATTGTTGTTTTGTCTACTTCAGGTTTTCTTTCCTACTGAACTGAATCTCCGAATGGCCAACATGAATTCAGAAGATTATGTTTTTGACAGCATTTCTGGGTAATGATTTAAGGCTCCCATTTGCCCATATCCTCCTATTCTCTTAGTTGTCCATGAGCAAGCAGTACAACTCATGCCAGTTTGCACCAAGTCACAGTTGGATTTTGAGGGGGTCTGTGGATCTTAAACCCACAATTGTCTGCTTTTTTGAATTTCACAGTTGAAAATTGTAGCTGTAAAGATAAAATTGTATCTCTAAAGAAAACAAATACTTTAAAGAAAACTACCTGGAGGACTGGAAATACCACCCATCTTCAGTTATGGTCCTTGCACCAAATCTGTGTCCCATGGGAAGGGGCAGTACTGTCTGGGAGTGATCTGGGAGTTTGCTTCCATCTGTGCCCCTCTCCCTGGTGTGCTTGTCTTGCTCTCAGTCTGCTGGAAGTCTACATCAAAAACAGGAGAAATAAAACTCACCTGAACTCCAGAGGAGGGGAGCGACTTGTTTGATAGTTGCAGTTGACCAAGAGGGTGATGGCCACTGAGTAGCTTATTAGCTTGTGAATTTAATTAAATTGTTAATAGATACTTTGCTGTTGGTTGAGGGCAGCTTGCTGCTCTCAGCCTGAATAGGGACCTTCCTGTCTTAGGAAGGTCCCTATTCCTAAGACACACATATCCCCTAAGACACACTGCTGATGTGTCTTAGGATTTAGCTTGCCAAGAACTTCTCTTGAATGTTCATTCATGAAGGAAATGGTTGAAAAAGGGGCTCATCCTGTTTTCCAACTTCTTTGCTTGGTGATGGCTTAATGAGTCAGCTAACGACTTTGGAATTTCTCCAAATTAAATGTGGAACGTTTAATCAGCTTTCCAGGAAAATGCCTTAGCAATCACTACCCTCTTCACTCTATAGGAATAACTTTGAATACACTCTGGAAGCCTCCAAGTCCCTCCGACAGAAGCCTGGGGACAGCACAATGACTTACCTGAATAAAGGTCAATTTTACCCAATCACGCTGAAAGAAGTCAGCAGCACTGAAGGAATCCACCACCCCATCAGTAAAGTCCGAGTGAGTGGCAGCACTTGTGGTTTCTTGGGAAGGAGGGTGTGCACCATGGTAACCTTAAAGTGCAGCAATCTCGAGCAGAGCATCAGCACAAAGGCCAGCTTAGCTGTGCTCTTACGTCAGTGTTCGTTCCTTTGCTGTCCACCTACTGCCAGGCCAGCCCAGCTTGGCTCAGACTGTTAAGAAGTGGTGTCAGCACTTGTGTAAAAGTGATGCAACACCTGGAATGAGATCCTTGAATTCTGGTTAGGAGAGCAGTTCTGCTCATCTCTGTTTATGACCCAGAAAGTGCTGTTGTCTGCCTTCCTGTTTGGCAGTGGTGTTCCAGGTATACTGTAGTGCCTCAAGTGGAAAAGCCTAAAGCTCCAAACCAAATGATGTACTCTCTGGCCTTTTCTTTATTTCTCTTTCATGTTTTTGTTTGTTTTTTTTTAATCTTTCCCTCTCTCCTTTCAGAGTGTCATTATGGTTGTGTTTGCTGAAGACAAAACAAGGGAAGATCAGCTCAGGCACTGGAAATACTGGCACTCAAGACAGCACACAGCCAAACAAAGATGCATTGACATAGGTAAGGAACACTCTCATTGCTGATGTCAAACTTAAGACCTAATTCCTTGGCAAGGTTCCGTTTTCTGCCAAAGCTTTGTTATTTTAAGGAACTTCTGGATCCCTCTCTGCCCTCCATAGCTTTGCTGAAAGCCCGGAGATGGTTTGTGATTGGAACTAATGCTGTAGTTTTTAGAACTCATTAAAGAGGCTGACTTTTTTTTGAGGATTTTGATTGGTGGGTTTTGTCTTGGGAAATCCAGCAGTCCCCTCCATACAACAGGTTTTCTTAGAATATCCTGGTGCTTGTAGCTAAGTCACAGTTTGTAGTCCCAGTGGCTGACCTAAATACTGTGTTTCTTTAAAGGACAAGATCCTTGTAGGAGTACCTCAAGACTAATGATCCTCCTTCCCACAGCTTTGCTCCCAACTCGTCTTTGGTACATGTAAAAAAAGAAAACACTGCAAATTTCCACTTGCCTCCAGACAAGGCTGGGGCTGGCTGGGTTCCAGCCTTTTCTGGCTGAAGGCTGGGCTGTACTCCTGGTCCCTTCCTTCTGTGAATCAAAGCAGGGATTAATCACTTGGCACTTAAAGCAGACGCGCATGCAAATCTTTGTTTGTTATTGAAGGATTTTATTGAGAGCTTATGTCCTTGCCATACAGGGTAGTTTCCTGCACATAGCACAGAGCACCTCATATTTGGGATCTGCCTTTGTCACTGCAGTTTCTAGTTTAGAATTTTTGCAAGTCCCATTTTGCTCCTTTCTCCTGTTGGTTGAGAGCTTTTTTGTGTGTGAGAACCATTTCCAGCCTCTTTAAAAATCCATTCCTAAGGTGCAGTTCAGCTTTCTTTTGCCCCCCAAGGGGCTGCTGAAGAGTTACAGTTTCTGGCTGCTTGGTGTGATTAAGGACCCAGGTAATAATCTCTTCTTCCTCTCCCTCATGAACCCTTCTGTCTGACAGCTGACTATAAGGAGAGCTTCAACACCATCAGCAACATTGAGGAGATCGCCTACAATGCCATATCCTTCACCTGGGACATCAACGAGGAAGCAAAGGTATGTGACCACGATTGTATTTCCTGTCCTTTGAGCAGATTCAGGGGCTGGGGGAAGGGAAGGGCGTGTGGCCTACCTGGTGATTAGCGTGTAACAAGTTTGTTTACGCTCCTACATTAGGCAAAACCTTCTGGCTATTTCTTAAGAGGGTTTGCATGTGCAACTGGGAGAGCTTTGCAACTGCTTTAGGCTTCTTGGCAGAAGTGGCTGCCTGAGAGACAAGTACTGACAGAAGGAAGCACGGATGGAGCGTTTTGGAGCAGATGAGGTGTGAGGGAGTGGAGCCGGGCCTGGCACCGAGCATGGCCTCCTGGGGAGGCAGGGGACAGCTGCAGGGGAGCTGGGGCTCCAGCCATGGCCTTGCCTTCCACCAGAGAGGGAGCAGCTGCAGCATGCATTGCTTAAACCGCAGATCCCAACACCCAGTGACCTATTTCTAACTAGAACAGCCTCCTGGTGAACTCTGGTTTGATCTTTCCTCAGAACTGTGGCTGCTTTTGTAGGTGTGTAGGTACAGGAAGCTTCCCTGGCTAGTAGCTAACTGCAGCTGTTTGAGCCACTCTGGCTGCTGGAAAAGCCTTGTGTATCTTCTACGTTCAAGGAAGCAGGTCAAAGCACAGAGCCAACTCAGTTCTAGAGGCATTTCTCACTGGTTAGCTGCTGGAGTCAAAGTGAAGGAATTTTCTTTTGACAATTTCATTACTGCCTGGTTTTTCTTTAAAAATTGGGAATGGTTTCCATTCATTTTTGGAGACTGGCTGTTTCCTTGGCAGTACTAGTAAGTGGTACCAGCAAGCAGTACCAGTAGTCACCAGCATCATGGGGGAAAACTCTGACGGCTGCAGAGTGCCATGTCTAGGGAGAGCCTGGCTTGGGGGAACATGGGAACTTTCAGCAAAGAACACAACTCCTTCTCTGGAGCTGTGTGGGCTCCTGCTCTGCAGGAGGAGCAAGGGTTGCTGTCACTGCACAGAGCTTGCTGTCACCACAAACTGCACTGTCCTGCACAAGGGCTGTGGAGAAAATGGAAAGAGACTGCTGTTAGGTTTCAGCTCTGTGGGAGAAGTTTGGGATGCTTAGCAGACAGCAGTGAGGAGCTGTGTGTGTGCTGCTGCTGAAAGTTCTGCTTTGCAATGTGTGGGATGTTACTTTTCAGTCTGGTGTTGGGTGCCAGGATTCCCTTTTCACCAGATTTGGCTTCAGTCGGGTTGAGAGGGCTGGCAGGGAGGGCCTTATCTGCTGGAGGATGCTGAAAGGCTGGAGGATGCTAAAAGGCTGACATGATTTCTAAAACATGAAGCACTTCACTTTGTGAACAAACAGAAGAGCTGTCAAAAGGAGTCAGTAAGTATTATCCTGCTGCCATAGCCAGTCAAACACTTAACAAACCCAGGGAGTCGGTGTCTAGGAGGTATGCAAAGGCTTAGGATTTGCACACAGGGGTGGATGATGCAGACAGAACAATGCAAGTCCTCAAGGAGCTGGAAGCACTTTCTGCAGCTGCCTCTGCTGGCTGAGCCACTCTGCAGCAGTAGGGATGAGCCATTAACTCAGGAGCAGGGCTCACAGCTGGTGCTGAGAACCTTGTGGCTGCCCCAAGGAAAGCCATCCCTTCCTACCAGGTGGCTATTGCTGAGTTACTCTACAGACCCCTGAATGAATAGTTTCAGTGTATAATGAAATTGCCAATAGCGTCTTGAAAAGGTCTAAGGACCCTCATGGTGATATTTCACCTCATGACTGAACTTCATGGGATGAAGTGATGTGGGGAGCTGTGAGACAGACTTTTTTAGCTACAGAGTCAAATTTGCCTCCAGATTCACAATCTTAGTGTGTGAGATCCATATACTGAGAGTCCTGGTTTATATGAACTTTCAGAGGGGGCTGTTGATGCCAAATGTGCAAGCCTTGACCCTTGGGATCAGAATCATATTAAGACAAAAATACCCTCAATTTCAGTATTTAAAGAATTGGCTTTTTTAGCAAGGGCTCCATGTTCTTAAATGTCTGTTTAACTTCATTTTTTTCCCTGAGTGGATGTGTTTTCTCAGTGACTGAATTTCTCACCAGAAGAGCTGCAGTTCTTTCTCTACTTCTGATCTTATCAGGAGATGTCTGAGCCAATTTCAACAATTTTTATTGCATGGTTCATTTACCTTGCATGCTCTTGCTCTCTCTTTTCCTTTCCCTCCCTTCCCCCCAATCCCTGACAGCAGTCTTAAAAGTATATGTAGAAAACAAGGAATAGATAGAGCTGAGTTTCTGATGTTACAGAAATTCCTTCACAGCAATAAATACAGTGTTTATATTTAATAACAGCAGAAGTGCTGCATAGACAGTATGTTTAACCAGCCAGCAAGCCTTGATCATTAGAAATTTGCTTCCTGAGCCCTGGAGTTACCTGGACCAGAGCCAGGTGATTCTTTTGGGCTTGCTGCTTCTCCCGTTTCCCCTCTTGCTTTTGCTTCTAGTTTGCTGTGGAAATGATTTGATCCCGTGCAGCCATGTCAAATGGGAGGTGATGAGGCTCTGTGTCTGGGCTCTCTGATGTAGTTACTCATTTGGACACGCAGGGTGTGTGTCAGATTTAAGGCAGAAATAGCATATTATCACAAGGAGATGCCCTTAGCAGCTCTGGGACCATGTACTTGCCTTCTTGTGGGGATGTACAGGAATATTGCACCTCTGCCAGTGTGTGTGTTCAGGAGGGTGTCACCTGCCTGAGAGTGCTTTGCCAGTGCCCTTGGGGCACTAAGGGGGTTTAGTAAAGTGCACCTTTCTGATGAAGAAATGCTTTTTTCATACAACACAAGTCATGTGCTCCTTCTGTAGAAAGGAATTTCCCATTTCCCAGTTGTATTGTGCTGGGAGAGCAGAGAGCAAGGCCAGGGCTCTGGTTGCTGGACACATTGGACAGCCTGGCTCTGCACAGCTGGAATTGTCCCACAGCTGCCTGCATTGCTGTGCTGTTAGTGAGCCCTTGGGTGTAGAAACCAGGGATATTTCATGCATGACAGACACTGCCCACTCTGGGACCTGACCGTGTCCATGGATTTCAGAGCAAATGTGCTTCTCTCTGGCAGCTCCTCTCTGCCCTCTTCTGTTGTTTTGGAACATCACAGGAGCTGCTGGAAGCAGCCACTTCTCAACAGAGGCTGGGTTAAGTATTCTCTGACCTTTGCAAGAGTGTGTTGAAGCTGGAAAAGAGCCCAGCATCCAAAGCCTCCTTGCTCTGAGACAGTGAAAGGAACAAGGGCTGGGGAGGAAGGCCAGACTTTGAAAGAGGCAACCTGCCGTGAAGTGGTACTATTGAGATTTGAAGGAGAGTGAGATCAGGTTTAGAAAGATTGTCAGGAGACACTGCAGAGTGGGGAAGCAGTGATTCAGGTGAGCTTTCAGATGTCTGTGTTGGAGATGAGGTCTGATCCCATCACCTGCCAGAGGAGGGCAAGGGAATAGTTGAATGGGGAGGGAGTCATGCTTTGTGAGCAGAAAAGGGAAGAGGGTGGACTAGAAAATTAGTTGATGAACTGGTGGGTTGTTGAATGGGGTATTTAAGAAAGCCAGCGTAGCTACTCAATCAGGAGCCATCCTGCTGGAGTGGAAGCATGATCCGATGAGTCTGATGAGATGTGTAGCTGAGTTACCCTGAGGCTTGTGGAGACTTCAGACAGTTCCCACCCCATGATGGATGTCTGCTGTGGGCAGACAGTCAAGGTAGGGTTCTTCTGCAGAGAAGCTTTTAGATGTCTGAACACAAGCTCGTCATCTTTTGCATCTATGACTTCATTAGGGTGTCTAGAGCTGGGATGCAGCTTTCTCTAAAGGTATCTGCCCCTTCTTGTTGACTGAGCAGGCTTGGCTGTCTTTGAAATGTGGGGATGTTAGAAGTTGGGAATAGGAATCCTTGCAGCCCTTTTTGTGTCTTTGTCACCCTTGTCAGTCAGAATAAATGGTTGTAGTTTCAGGTCACGAGTTTTTGAGGCTGGGATCCATCTCTTCCCAGGTCTGTACAACATGTCAGGCTCTCCTTTTCTTGGATGGAACCCAATAAAGGTCTTTTAATTAAGATTGCCACTATGTGTGCAGCTAAATGCACATTTCATACTGTTCTTCCTAATGTTGGCTGTTGTCCTGTTATCTCTGCTATGTTACCCGTTAGGCTGCAAAGCAAATTTTGTCCCTTAACTCTGGCCTGGGGACATGGCCTGCTCTCAGGTCAGTGGCACTTGAACAATCTGGACAGATTGGTTTCCCCAGGGTTAACTGGCTTTGCTGCATCCTGCTTTGCTCAAATCCTGTCTGAGCTCTTGCCCTGTGGAGCAGGAGGGTTGGGGCCTCTTGTCTGAACAGGGTGAATTGTTGTCTGCACAGTGACTGCAAGAGCCTCCCTGCCTGTTTCTGGAGCTCTGACAGGGCAGGTGTTGGGGCACCCCTTCTGTGCTTCCCAAGGGGCCCCTTCTGAAAAGCAGCATTGCTTCCAGCAGCTCCCAGAGAAGGGCCCCTGTGGAGGTCTTTGGTCTGGCTTGCTATAGGCTGGGTTATGGGACTGTAGCCAAAAATGATGTCACTGCACATTAAGGGTTCTATTGTCCTCCTACTCCTTCCCTCCCCAAAAAAAACAAAACCCAGTCATTGTAAGCCAGATGCTGTGTGAAAAAACTCATTCTACTAAAAGGGAATACATGGAGAGAGTGTAACAGGCATTTTGAGCTCAAGAATATCATGACAGGGCTTTTTGCTACTTTTCACCAAAGGGAAGATGCTGTAGTGTCTCTTAATTGATGCCCTGAATGACAGAGCAATTAAACAGTACTTTTTTATTACGTTTTTTTGGTCCAAGAAGAGTGGAATGGTCCTAATATTATGGTAATTTGCATCTAATTTGGGATAGCCTTTTGAAATAGAAATTTAGGCAATAAAGGTTGTTTTCTTGGCAGGTCCTCCCATGTGTTGGCAAGATTATTTTGTTTAGAGGAGTTAGTTTTTGGAGAGGGTGG